AATAGATCTCTATAGTAATCAGTGTACAGTATTTTTTATACTAGAATGTGTAAAATATGTACCAGACCACACAAATGGTGATACATAAACACAAAAGTCTATAAAATGGTCTTCTGGATAATAATAAACACACATTATGTTTGTACAGCACAATGTGCAGCCCACATGTTGAGCAGTGATTTAGTGGTAAAGTAATCGTCTTTAAGACCAACCCAAGACAAACACACACATTAGCATTACATTAACTGCAAGCTTCAGAACCACAAACAAATACAAAAACACAAGCTTTCTCATTTTCACACCACTATGTGGTCGACCAACATGAGCTTTTTAACGCCTGATGCCAACACAGGTATCTAAAGAGCAAGGTGGCTCATATCCGACGTTATGCTGATATAATTAACAAAACTGAATAATAGCAAACAACGCATTATGCCTATTTTACACAATATCTACTAGAAATTACCTAAAATATTTGAAAACAAAAAAAGCACAATCTATTGTGTTTTACACTTAAATTACACAACATATACTCAAAATTAATTGTAAAAAAATAATGTTTTACACTTAATTTACACATTATAAAAAGATGCACTATCTATTGTTTTATTATTAGTTCATACAAAATATATTCAAAATTATTTAAAAACATGAAAACATTAAACATGCACTTTCCACTGAATTTTACATCTGTTTTACACAATATATATATATATATATATACTTAAAAATAATAAAAACATGACAACAGTAAATTCAGATTAAGTTTCACTTAATTTACAGATTATTAAAAAAGTAAACAAAAATGCACACTATCCATTGACAACAGTGTCGGTAGATTTCCAAACTAATATTAGTTGGAATATTACTTTCTGTTGAGAAATCAATCATGCACAGTTATCGATAATCTCAAAATAATCTCAAAATAGCTTAATATCGGCCCGATATATCAGTTTATCACTAGTACCACTATGTTCCATTCCGCAGTATCTCATTAATTTTCACCCACCGCAATCCTTCTAAAGCAACAAACTGTCCTCCCTACATCCAACACGCACACAAATCTCCCACATGCTGGCCTGGTTTTCTCCCTCTGCATGAGCTCTATCTCCTGCTCCCCACCCAGTGCTATGCAATGCCATGCTACCTTTCTCCTTCACCATGACCATTGGCTCCTCAGTGTCTGCTGGGGCTCTGATGAGGAGGATCAGAGGGAGAGAGCTGCTTCTTCCTGCCTGCTTTCTTCCTTGGGTTCTCCTGCTTTATTCCCCCACTGAATCCAAACGTGAGGAGACGACGGAAGAGAGAACAAGAGAGAGAAAGAGAGAGAGAGAGCAAGGCAACGGCAAGATGACAGCAGAGGAACGGACAAAAAGAGCTTGCACTCTCAAACCAAGCAGCCGCTCAGCAACTGCTGGCTTGGTCTCCGCTTCTCCGCTTCTCGTCTCCCCCCCCCCTCCTGACACAACCATCCTACAATGATAATCCATTCACTCCTTTTTTTATCCCCCAAAAAACCTAAACAGTCTCAATAATCAAGCCGTTTCGATTTTCTGAGCAGTATGATGTCATACTGCTCAGGCCCCGCCCACGATGGCTAACAGACTGTCCCGTATTAGCATATTTCCGCCCTCGACCAGTTGTACGCTGTGCGCCATTTTCTCCGCGCTCGAGCAGCTGTAGTGACAATGCAGGTGTTTTGTAGTTGGATGTAAAGTGAACATAAGAGTCTTCATTTTCTCTCGACAACAGAGCCACTGAAGACATAGTGGATTAGTTTTGTTTTTGATGGTAACGCGCCACTGAATACACAAAAAAACAGAAGAGAGGGGTGGGGTGAGCAGTAGCTTATTATCATTTAAAGAGACATGCACCGAAACGGGTCGCTGTGAACAGAGCTGTTTTTGACAAGGTAAAAAGGGTGTTGTTTTACACCACCATTGAGGAGTTTTAACCAAAGTATGTTGCAGACATTTCATGAAGACCCTAAAGAATCATACCAGCTTGTGGAAAATGGGCTTCCGATGTCCCCTTTAATTACGCAACTGTTTTCTATTTTAATATACTTTAAATGTCATTTATTCCTGTGATGGCAAAGCAGAATTTTCAGCAGCCATTACTTCAGTGTTTCATGATTCTTCCGAAATCATTCCAATATGCTGATTTTCTGTTTAAGAAACATTTCTTTTTAATATCAAATTTTTAATGGTTGGGCTGCTAAATATTTTTTATGGAAACTTCAGGATTCTTTGAGAAATAGAAAGTTCAAAAGAACAGCATCTCTTTTGATCAATTTATTGTGTTCTTGCTTAATAAAAGTTATTATTATTATTTAAATCTTACTGACCCTTACTGACCCTGAAACTTTTGAATCTAAACAATCTGTGAAATAAACTATGTAAAGTGTGGCTGTAAGCCATGATTTCCACCACAACCAACAATTTTGCCTCTAATAAAGTTTCAAAAGTTAGTGACCTTGTTTACCAAGGAGAAAAGATCAGCTTTAAATAAAATATGACGTGTACTGTGTGAAGAAAACAATTAAAAAGGTAAACATCACTTGTATAACTTAATTTAGCCAAATGATGTAAAAATTATTTGAAAATATTATTTCATTTTTATATATTATGGACATATAATGCAAGCTATGAGATTAGCCTGTGCACAACCAAGGAATCAGCCATTATTATTCAAAAAATGTAATTTCCAAGATGTGGTAGAAATTGCATTTGTTGGTAGGGAAATTATGGTTTAGATAAAAATTCAATAATGTGGACATTGTTAGAGACAAACTAGCCAACAGGGCCAAAAGTGTCCATAGCCTAAGAAACAGCCATATATGGGTTGATATGGTTAAAAGGAGATTAGCTGAATTTTAAATAAGTGGAGGATGTGTGAGAGAGAGACAGAGGGTGTCAGCATGGGAAGGCCACAGACAGCAGGTGTTGGATAAATAGAGGAACTTCTATATCAGTCTATATCATTAGAAAGAAGAAAACAGCTGAACCTTTTGTCAACAAGTAAGAGAAAAAAGAAGGATCTGAGCCAAAGTAACAAAAATATAGCTAGACCACTGTAATTATTCTCTATTTATTTGTGCAACACCACAAAATGCTACTACTACTTCTACTTTGAGAATGCTTTAATGCTTGTTTCAGAATTAATTTCTTATATCTCTGACATTCTAAAACACAAGACAGCGAATAGAAGTGAATAACAGTTTTTGAACCATATTGCTATGATGTTCTGAGGGGTTTTAGTGTGTTTCTGTGGTGGCTAACATGTTCTGGATGGTTGCTAGGTTGTTTCAGTTGGTTCCTTACTCGCCAAAAAAATAAAAAATATCTCAAGTGATTTTTCCGACCCATTTTGTCCAAAAAACACAAACCCAAACCCTTACAATGTCTAGAGCACAGTACTGTTATGGAAAAGCAGCACATGTGGATCAGTAGAATAACAGTATGATACCTTTGGCTTCAGGGTATCTCTGACTTCCCCTTCCTGGAGGGCTACACAACGGGGATCCACACTGGCCTTGGTCGTAAATGATTGACTGATTGAGTTTAGCTATAATTACTGAATGCACTGGTTCTCTACTGGTTCCTTAGGCAGTCGTGGCCTAATGGTTAGAGAGTTGGACTTGTAGCTCAAAGATCGTGGGTTTGGGTCTCAATACCGGCAGGTATTGTAGGTGGGGGGAGTTAATAACCAGCACTCAATACCATGACTAAGGTGAGACCCTTGAGCAAGGCACCGAACCCCCAACTGCTCCGGGTGTGTGTTTGTTCACATACTATCAAGAACAGATTTATATACATTGTAGAAAAAAACTGTTGTGAAAACATAAGAAGAATGGTTCTAACAAAGGTATTGCAGATTAAATTATGTGTTTCAGATATAAACGCGCACAAAAAGAATATGTGTGTTAAGACACAAGTTATGTCCAAAGACAGTATAAATAAATATTTCTGTTTGTAACTCCAGGATGCAATGACAAACCCACTGAATGGTAATGGTATTTTACAGGGTATAAGGATGAGTGATTGTAAAAAAAAAAGTGACTACAGCAGACTAATGGGAAGATTTGTCAGGAATGTGTCCACTATTTCAGCCATAATCCTGCCAGCGTGATAGTGCTGTGATCCAGCTCAGACTTTAGATTAACCTCACATCCCACTGCCTTAAAAACACAAATACCAGCATCTTTGTTTATCTCCTCAATTATTTTGTAATATGTTACATTTTTGGCTCTCTTCTATTCAAAAAAAGTTCTGCCCCTGTACAGATATCACTTGTGTCACTATGACCTGGAACTGCTGCTCTGCTAAAATCTAAAATATTCCATGAATAAAAATATAATACAAAGGCTCATTTAGGAAATTACACAAATATTTTAACTAATTTCACTGAAAAAATAAATAAATAAATAAATATATATATATATATATATATAAAGAGAGAGAGAGAGAGATTTGCATTATTTTTTCTAAATAACTAAACGTCTTAACTAAATAAAATGATGTACATATTAATATTAATTTGTACTAATTACAAAATAAATAAATGAAAAAATAAAATAAAATAAAGTACAATATTACAAAATATTGTAGTTTTTGCCTAAAAAACAGTGGGGATTGAAAAAAAAGCATTAAAAACTATTTTCTGCAGTGTTGCCCTCTTAAAAATACTATTATAAAAATTATGACTACTTAAATTATTTTTATTTTATTTTATCTTTAACATAATTTTTCTAATGAAAAAATATGTATATAATAAAATATATATATATATATTATAAGTTTGTTTTTTTGTAAGAAAATGAATCCTGACATTTGTGATTATTTCAAGGCTATTCGATGACTGAATAAAAACTTATTTGACAAAAAAAAAATTTCCACACAACTGAACAATATCACAGACAGTCGCATAACGGAAATATTTTCTATGATAGCAAATAAGTGTCTAGCAAGAGTCTAGCATCTCTCTCTATCCTCCCTTACCGGGTCCAATGTCAGGAGGTGCCATTTTCTCCAGGATAATATACTCATTGGGGTTAAGGAAGGGCAGCTGCTCCATCATGGACTGTTTGGGAATGAGGTAGAGCACCTCAGCCACGTTCCCATCTTCGATAATGGACATTCTCCGAACTGAGTTCTTGCGCTTCACCCGGTCCAGCACCACAGAGTCGTCACTGAGGCCAGAGCCGCACAGTTTGCCAAAGCTGTTAAGATTGGGTAAATTGGGCATGGCAAGACCCTCTATCCAATACGGCAGTCTACAGAATGAAACTAGAGGAGATACCATACAAGAAAAACAGAAAACTCGCCCGGTAACACAAAAGTGAGTTACCGCTGAACCCCAGGTACAAGATTAAACGTCCAGATCACAGGGGTTTATTTGTGTTGTTGGTGAAGCACCACTGAGCCCCTGCTGTGAGCTCCTTCCTGGTTTACTTAAGCAGATTACAGCCAATGTATTTTTAGTGATTATCTTCAGTGGAATGGAAAAAGAGCACCTGCATGGGGCAGTCCAAGTCATGACTTTATGATCAGATACAATGCGGATAAAAGTTGCAATATCAAAAACAGATGCATAATGCTCTGTGATTGAATGCATCTTCTAGAAGATTATAAAGTTTTTCATTGAATGGTATTGCAGCCGTATATTGCAGTTTAAATCGTATTAAAATCAAATCATGTGACTGGCTTTCACTGAGTCTTTTACATAATGCAACATCCTTATACTGGACATACTAGGAAATAAAACACATACAGTAATGCATAGGCTTGATTAAATTGACATTTTTGATTAAAATAAAGATCCTCTCTCTAACCAAAAGCGCTTCCATCTGAGCTTGTAAACCCACGCCGAACAAGCATCCGCATTTAAACTGGCACGTCATCAAAGCTGCTGAAGGGGACCTTGTCTGTGGTACTTTTAGAATCATAAACCCTGCATCCGTGTCTCATATGTACTGAAACGCTAATATCATGTGTACGCCAATTACTTTACAAATCCATAAAGGGGTATCTCCACGGTTACTGTCAGAGATATGAAGCTGTTATATTAAAATGCCGATTTTCATTGAGGTTGTTACAACGGTCATTTATTCAAATGATCACATCAGCAGAAAGTGTGCGATACTTGTTTGTTCGATACACTAAGTTTATGACTCCTATCTCTCAAACATGCACAACACAGCAATGAAATACTTAAAACACACAGTTACACACACTATAAAGGAATAGTTCACGCAAAAAAAAAAATCATTCTTTTTTTCATTCTCAGTTTTTCTTCTATGGAATATAAAAGATGATATTTTGAAGAAATATGAACAGGATGAGAATTACAGGGGTGTTTGGGGAGTCTGACTTCAAATCGGTGTGTTTTAGTCTCTGTTAGCTTTGGAGTCATTTATGTGTTAGTACAACCCTAATTTTAGCAGATATACACATTTATATTCAGTCTTCAGAGTATATTATTAAATATATTAAAAGTACCATTCATAGACACAAATTAATGTCAACACATCAATAAAACAGCAATGCACTGCCACTGACTGAGTCATTCATATTATGAGCCATTCATATTCACACGAACAGCTACTCAAACTGTTCATAAATAATGTTACAGTGCACTATTCCTGAATTAAAATAGGTTATGCATTCTTTCACACATATTTTGTCTTACATGCTGTAAAAACTCATGGCGTTCAACATTCAGGACTCAAACTTCCTTTTTCAATAGAATATACATCAACACAGAAAAGAAAGCTGACCACTTGGAGGGACAGTTCACCCCAATGAATATTCTGTCATAATTTACTCATCCTCAAGTTGTTCCAAACTTTCTTAACACAAAAGAAGGGTTTTGGGAGAACTGTTTTCATTCATACAATGAAAGGCAATGGGGTCCAAAACAACACTGGACCCCAATGACTTTTACAGAGCCCCTAATGAGACATGGTGATGAAATATGGAGGAAAAAATATATTTCAAAACTTTTGCTTTTGATAGTAAATTTATAAAAAATAGCTTAAATGAGCATAAAGTATCATTTTCAATCCCATCTCATCTTGTCATATTAACATGTCACTTTTCAAAAAATATTGAGATATTTTTCATATCTTCTTTTGTTTTTCCAGAGAAAAAATAAATTAGTGCAGGTTTAGAATGACAAGGAAGTGAGTAAATGATGACAAAATATGCATTTAATTTTTTTTATTTTGTGGTTTAGAACTTTAAAATTCTTTAGAATACTTTAAAAGTTCTTAACATTGGAAAAAGACAATTTCAGTTGTGTAAGGAAGATTACAACAGATTTCACTCATTTGAAAAAACTGACTCCTTTCAATCATGACAACTCACAGAATAGTTTTAACATGCTATGGGATATGATAATGTTAATATATTTGGTCTAGAGTAGACAAACTAGACCTGCTATGCATGCTGCTGCTGCTGAGAGCATGCAAGATGCTACTGCTGTATAAATAGCCATACGTAAATCCTGTAGCAGATCTAGACAGGTGGAGCTGGGGGAGGTGGAGGGTTTAAGAAGAACTCTGATGGCACACTGCAGGACCAGTGTACAATGCACATCCAGCAGAGGCCAACCATATGCCATGTATAAATTATGTGATTGCTAGCAGATTGCATGTAAAGGACCTATCAGCCTGCACCATCTAGAGTTTCATGACTGAACTAGGTATCTGATTCGCACACTAGGATGATTTCACAGCAGTTACATAAATCAGCACTCTGGATTAAAAGTAACTTTACTCAGATGCTAATCGAAGACACAGAGGAATTACAACAAGACATCCTGAGTGTCTTCATGTGATACGTTACTTCATTCTTATTTCTGTGACGGCTCATTTTTCACTTAGAGCTTTTCATCTAAATCTCCTCACCTGTCTGTGTCCTTGTGCATTAAGATAATGACTATGACATTACAGATGCATACAGATCACCAGCCATGTATGATCCAGGTGGAGGTTATGTGAGCAAGGAGACAATGTAATATATAATCACCGTTAATGACAGAGTACAACATAGTGCCCAGGCCACCTATGTCTCCTTCCAGAGGGGCTTATGGGGGAGTCGCGTATGCATAATCACCACTTTAGCCTCAGGGAGATGACTATAGTCTACCTACTGTGGGCCAAAAAGCATTTGTCAGCTGTGCTAGAGCACACTACATAGATGCATGAGCACAGAAACAATCTGCAAAGTGTGTGTTGAGGCAGTTTAAAAGTGCAATGTGTAATTTCTGCGAGACTAGCAGCAATGATTATCTCACAGAAAGTTCAGGTGCAAATGTAGAAATGTCTAGACTCTAGACCCATCCACACACTCCAGCTCTGTCTCAGCTTGAGACACACACACACACACACA